TTTTCGAAAGAAGTCAAAAATAATTTTCCAATTTTTTAAGTGAGATTCTTATTTTATTTTCTTCCAAAAATTTAGCTTAAATAGTATAATTATAAGATGACTAATATATAACGGAGTCATGATAGAACGAATGATGGCTCTTATATGACTATCACACAAATTTTGATTTTATAATGTGAAACAAAGCGTTAATTTATGTTTTGAATACATATAAACTTAAAACTATGAAATTAAATGCATTTTTAATTTGCGGAGAATTCTGCGAAATTCCGTTTCTGCCTTTAACACGGCAATACCACTATGCATTGTTAAAAGAGGTTAGCATGAAGGAGAATGAAAATCAAGGATGTTAACGTACAATGACCTCGAAGTGAGAGATGAAAAAAAGAGGGCGAATTCTATGAAACGTTCTCTAGATCACCGGAAATAGATGTTCCGGATCTCGATTAACGGCATAAGCGGTATAAACGGTGCAATGTTGAATTTTAGACTTGTCAGATTAAAAATAGAAAAGCTCGAGGAAATTATTTTCTGAATAGAAAAAAATGAATAATGAAATATATCGCACTTTACTTGAAATATTAATATAAATATATTCTAAATATATATGTATAAAATAAATTAATGACTAATTAATATCACTGAGAATAGTACACGTTTATATTCCAGTAATACTAATTCGAAGCGCGGCTATATAATCCAATGAAATTAAAAAGCGATTTAGAAGTAAATGTATAGGTATTTGAATATAAATTCACTTTTTTTGAAGCTCTATATATATTTATATAAAAATATGAATTTAATTTTGCTTTTTTGTTTATATTTTGTAGACTTAATTATCTTTAAAATATTTTATGGAATTTCTGAATGATTTACGTTTTTCTATTGATATATTTTCTAAAAATGCATGTAACGCGCGCGCGCATGACGAAGCATAATTGTTGCATGCACAGAATATTACATGATAAATAAATAAATAATTAAATAATAAATTCTTTGGCGATTCTTCCTTGATATTATTGACTAAAATCATTGTATTTATGGTTTTCTAATTCTTTATATATTTAATAATGTATACTTTTGCAATAAAAAAATCTGGAATCAAAATATTAAAATATGATTTAAATTAATTCAGGAATGTGATTTTATCTTATTTGCTTGTTCGAAGATTAACGAAATAATTTTTTTATATTTAATAACTAATTATCTAGTTAATATCTGGTGCCTCTCAACACTTTTCTTAAGAATAATGTCAAAGACTTTGGATTGACTATAATCTGTCATTATTCCCTGATTGGTTTATTTAACTCAGTTTGCACAAAAATGCTGTAAAATAGAATTTGATAATAGAATCATCAAATTGTTAAATCATAGTATATTATCGTGATCTCATAGTATAATATCGTGATCTCGAATTCACGCCATTCTCTATGAAACTACATAAGTCTTCTCTTTACTTTAGACGATACAAATCTCTCGCTTGTGGAAAGTATCGAGATTTAACTTAGAACCTGTTTCGTGTTCCGTCAGTTTACTGTACTACTCTTCGAGTAGACGATAGCTGAAACTTGTAAAACGAACCTCTGTGATTTACGTACTGCCTTCTGTTTGATATGGCGATCATTTCAGATAGTATACGTTGAACAGTAAATTCAGTTTCCGATTTTTTAAAGTAAATTGTCGATTATACTCTTTTTAATATTGCAAATTTTAATTTAAAAAATAATTAAAAAGGCTTAAAAATTACAGATTAACTGATTTTTGATTTTTTTTTTTTTTTTTAAAGGAAATCTTGTATTCTTTGAAATTCCTTTAATTTGATGATACTTTTAATTTGATGTTATATGATTAATCGCAATAAATATAAAATTCTTTATATACATTTTTTGTTTATATATATTTCATTAAAATAAAAATTTATATATACTACTGTTTATTAATTTAGGAACATGTGCGATTTTTTTGTATTGTATGAAAAATTAAATATCTCGAAAAAAATCGTAAAAAAGTTTCAAAAATGCATTTTAAAGAGGACAGAAATTAAATTTTTTAATTTTATTATTATGTTATTTTGTTTTTAAATTATATAAAATTGAAAATTGGTATTTTTTAAGTATTTTTATTTTACTTTGAAGCGTTATAACTTGATGAAATATTATCGGACAAAAATTAATCGAACGAAAAAATATTTTAAAATAAACTTTCTAAGCTTTAAAATGTTTTTTAAATAAATCATGCAAGAATTTTTCGCAATAATCGAATTTCTTGTGTAAAAATTCATTTTCACAATATGTTTTAACTTCAAAATTAAAAAACAATTTACAGAAAATAATAATAATAATTTAATATTCTCGATCCGCATAAATTTTTTCAAAATTTTTGAAGGACTTTTTTAAACCGAACTTTTTTCTTTCATGAGAAAATGCAAGTGTTCCTGAACTTAATAAATAGTAAAGTAAAAAATTTTTATATATCCATACAAGTATAAAGTTTTGGTTTAACTTTTTTTATTTTAAATGACGGAGTCACATTTCGTTCAGATTTCGTTTGTATTACGAGTGTTGTAAAATCGTAGGTACTATGAACAAATTTCGTCGAGTGATATTTCAACATACCATGTTGAATATCGATATTGCATCGCATTGCACGAATATTACACGATATTACGTTCTTCTTTTCTCGCACCTTAGGAAAATGAAATTCCTACGTTGTAGGATGCGAACGCCTCTATAATTACGAACTCCGACCGGAGTTCCGAGTGCGCGTATACATACACACACACACACGCATATACATGTATGTACGTAGACACCAATTATATGGGTTGCTGCAAATATTTGTTTAGAATTCAGAATTAGAACACAATATTGGACGAAATCACTGACTGTATCATCGCGACAACTGATATGTGGTCGTTTTCTCTCAAATAATTTTCTTCCATCTTTTGATAAGATTGATTTTTTTAAATAATACAACCATCTATTGTAAAAATGAATAGTTATTATTGTTTATTTATTTAAAATTTTATAATAATTATCTATTATTTAAATATCCCTACGATATGTTTTATATGAAATATACAATAGTTGATTTTAGAAAAACATTATCAGATTTTTCAATTATTTCATTCGTATTTATTATATCTTATTATATGCATTATGAAGCTTATCTTGAAATGATATTAAAAAAACATGTTTATTAAAAAATATATAATACATCTGCAGTTTCTAAAAAATAAAATGATATAAACATGTACTTAAGTGTCAGTGTATCAATTTATGCTTATTTAATTGCAAATGGAATATCGTAAAAACAAATCGCACAGATTTAAAAATTAACAATCTCGTACAGTTGAATTTCATTTTCACGATATCAAATGACAAAGTCAAGCTCAGTTCAGTCTTGCAGACACATCGTCGAATTGAAATATCATCACGCGACGGAGCGTACATGACATGAGATAATAATTTGCTGCAAAGTGAGCACTGGATTTTAATGTCGGGGAGATACTGTCCAAGATGGAAAACATAAAAGCACGAACGAAGGCCCCGAATCTAGACAGGCTTGTAAAAACTGGGACATCAGAACAGATAGCCAGGGAGATATCAGGCTCTCACGAAAGAGTGGCGCACCTGCTGACACGTGTGATTTACCGGCGAGAATGTCTGCACGCGTGCACTCTACTGCGGTGCACAAAAAAAAGCAAACAACAATCGTTAAGGTATTATTTTTACAGACTCCTGCGCGCGCTCCGCACCGAATGCATCGCGTACATGCCGCTCTTTATTACGGTTACGATAAATTCCGCGCGTAATCGGATGAGCAAGTTATTAAACGCGCTGATAAATTGCTTGCAGACTACTGGTACGCTCGTGACATAAATATTTTGCTGACTGTGCGATTAATATTGAACGAAATGTTCGATATCGCTACTATGTACATATGGAGACTGCTTTAGGCTCTCTGGATCTTCGTAAATCATTGTGATCGATAATGTGATTGATCGTTATTTGGTACTCAATTGCAAGGCGTTATGCGATATTGGAATATTCGTTATTGTAAAGTTTATCATGGATTATGATACACGCTATATGAATTATATGTTCAAGCTATCTTTTAGACACATTCATTAAATTTTAAACTTGATAAATAAATGAATGTCACACATAAATTGCAAAATATTTGGATTAATTTCACAAACATTAAGAATTAAATAACATTTATTTGTATCTCATACTTTAGAAAATTTAAATATATATCCGACCAATTTTCTCGCACATAATGTTTTCAATACTTTTCAATACTGTATATATAAAAGAAATACAAATTTTTTAAATAATAGAAATTTTCTTTATTAAAAATTTGTATGAATATTTATATAGAATTACATTAGGTATATATTTAAGCAAAGAGTGCGCCATGTGATCCATTAATTATCTCAGATTAATTATCTAACTTTATCTAATCTTGTTTTGTCTAATCTGGAAAGATAAGTATTTTTTTAATACTTCTATGTAAGATTTGGAAGTAAAAACGTGTAGAACACATTTTCTATCTCAACAAATCGCTTCTAGGAAAGCTAAGTGTCGTTACGGAAATAGCTGGCGTATCAACAGGATCTGGAATAGCACTTCATTCATGTGCTCGTTTATCTTGCTATCTTTATTTAGCTTCTAAAATAAATAGGAAATCCTGGATTCACAAGCCCTTTTCTCCTCTAAGGAATATAAGAAATTATTTTTTGTGAAAAACGTTGTCGAGACGATTAAATTTCAAAGATTTTTTTATATATTGCTAAAATGAATCTTAATATACATCATTAATAAAACATAAATAAACAATTTAATATTATACAACAATTTAATATTATAAAAATTATTATATTAACAACAATTTAAATATCAATACAAATATAATAAATAAATGTTATATAGATTTTATATATGATATATACATT